CAAGCCCTTGCTCAAAATACTTAGGTAGTCCTCAACTTACACCAGCTCATCCAGTGAGCATTCAAAGTTACAATGGCACTGGGGGAAAAAAGGGACTTAAGCAGGGTTGGGATGCTACAGGTTCTCACCTCTTCTCTAGAACCGGTTGTTAACTTTCTAAGCAGTTCAGAGAACCGGTTGTTGGAAAAAAAATCTCCTTTTGTTTTTCTCTACCCTTCTTACATTCTTGGCAGTATGCCCAGACTTACTGTCTCAGAAGGAGGTTTTTTTTCTTTGCTGGTACTTTCTTAAAGGGGAAGGGTTGTTTTAAGCTTTTTATACTGCTGTTGGGAGGAAATACTCCCCTGTTGGAGTTAGCACTTTGAAGAAATAATTGAATAATGAAGCAGAGCTGCCAGAAAGAAGCTTTTAATGACAAGGAACCAAGATGAGTGACATTCAGCAAGGCTTCTTGGCTAGCGAGAAAGATTGACATTCAAACGTGAGTTTACATACCCTTTTTGAGTTTTGGTCTAAAACTGGTGACCATTCAAAGTTACAACGGCACTGAAAAAAGTGACTTATGACCATTTTTCACACTTACGACCGTTACAGCATCTCCACTGTCATGAGAGCCCCAGGCGAGGAGAAACGCCCCTTGATGTGAGCGATGTCGAGTTGACCACGTCCACCCAGTCACATGACCAGCAAGCCACACCCACCAACTAAGCCACGCCTACAGAACTAGTTGTTAAAAAAATTGAATCCCACCCTGCACTTAAGCAAGGGTGGGATCCGACCGGTGTAACTACCAGTTCGGCAATTTTACATTTTGCGCTGCGCGCACGTGTATATCATCATCATCTAGCTGCCTGAACAGCAGAGCAGTGCTGCGCACCTCGCAGCTGTGTCGCGCAGAGCAGCTGCGGTTGAAAACGCAGGTGGGCCAAAACAGCAGCAAACATAGAACCGGTTCTACGAGGGCTATCCACAAAATAGATTACGTTTTCGTCTGTAGCAAGAAGGGGCGGAGCTAGCGTGGCCATCTTTGGTCTGTGCGTCTGCTGCTCAGTCTGCATCTAGTCGTGCTAGTGGAAGGTTTGTATTGTTGCCCGTTATTTCACAGCAAACGTTTGAAATGTGTGCTGCAATTGAAAATCCCGCGAGTTGTGAGGTGCGATCAGTGATAAGGTTTCTGTTGGCAAAAAACCATAAACCGATTGAAATTTTTCGGCAACTGTGTGAAGTGTACGGGGACAACATCATCACTGAAGGTGGAGTGCGCCAATGGTGCATTAAGTTTAAAAATGGCCGAACTACGGCACTCGAGAAGTCCTGAATCCTTTCAAGTGGGAGATTTTTCCTCATCCGCCCTACAGCCCCGATCTTGCACCAAGCGACTACCACTTGTTTCCGAGGATGAAGACCTGACTTGGAACACAGCGCTTTGATGACGACGCGGAACTGCGGGCGGGCGTGACTGACTGGCTCACATCTCAGGCGTCTGAATTTTATGACAATGGAATTACAAAGCTTGTTCACCGCTATGATAAGTGCCTCAATTTGTTCGGTGAATATGTTGAAAAGTAGTATTTAAGTGTCACTTTCAAGTGTATATAATAAAAAAAAAATTCTACACTTTGTTTTTTTTCTATCGCAAAACGTAATCTATTTTGTGGATAGCCCTCATATGTATACTCTCTGTTTGCTGCTTTTTCAGAGGAACCGGTTCTACAGAAGTGGACAGAACTGGCAGAATCCTACCCCTGGACTTAAGCTTTTTCACACTGAGGACCATGGCAGCATTCCGGTGGTCAGATGATCAAAATTTGGACGCTTGGCAACCGGCACGTATTTATGGCGGTTGCAGGCAGGGGTGGGCTTCAAAATTTTTAGCAAAGGGTTCTCTGCCCAGTTGCTGGGTGGGCGTGGCCTAGTCAGCCTCCTGCACCACAGTGGGGGGGAGGGCAAACCCCTCCCCAGACTCCAGAGGCTTTACTTCAGGAGGGTGAAAACAGCCTCCCGGAGCTCTGGAGCAGAGGTGGGTATTCAGCAGGTTCTGGCCAGTTCTGGAGAACCGGTAGCAGAAATTTTGAGTAGTTCGGAGAACTGGCAAATCCCACCTCTGACTGGAGATTTTGCAGTATCCTTCCCCTGCCATGCCCACCAAGCCACGCCCACAGAACCGGTAGTAAAAAAAATTGAATCCCACCTGGAGGCTATCTAGAAGCCGGAAATGGGCTCATTTCTGGTCATCCCAAATTTCTGGTAGGCCCATTTTTTTACCCTCCCTGAGCCTCCGCACGTGCCCTGCACCTACTTGCATCTAAAACAGGCCATGTGGGGCAGTGGCAGGATTCAAAAATTTTTTACTACGGTTCTGTGGGCGTGGCTTGGTGGGCGTGGCAGGGGAAAGATACTGTAAAATCTCCAGTCAAAGGTGGTATTTTCTGGTTCTCTGAACTACTCAAAATTTCCACTACTGGTTCTCCAGAACTGGTCAGAATCTGCTGAATGCCACCACTGCTCCCCAACCCACTAACCTGCTTTCCAGCTCCGTTCTCCTGTGCAGGGCAACCAAAGAAGACCCAGCCGATCAACTGGGACTCAGGAGGCACAGAATAGATGGAGTTCGCAGGGCCAGTCAGAGGTGGGATTTGCTGGTTCTCCCAACTACTCAAAATTTCCACTACTGGTTCTTGCTTTGCTGGCTGAGGAAGTCTGGGAGTTGAAGTCCACAAGTCTTAAAAGTTGCCAAGGTTGGAGACCCCTTGTTCTAGACCAGGGGTCTCAAACACAATTTACCTGGGGGCCGCTGGAGGCAGAGTCTGGGTGAGGTTGGGCCGCATAATATTATACTTTATATTATACTTTATATTTATATTATACAGTAATATTATACTTTCATATCACGGTGGGGGCTGCAGGATATCGTCCTGCGGGCTGCAATTGGCCCGCGGGCCGCGAGAATGAGACCTCTGTTCTAGACTGTCTTTGTTGCCATGAAGTCTTTCTGGCTATATAACAGGGGTGGGATTCAAATTTATTTACTACCAGTTCTGTGGGCGTGCCTTGGTGGGTGTGGCAGGGGAAGGATACTGTAAAATCTCCAGTCAGAGGTGCTTTGCCGGTTCTCCGGACCACTCAAAATTTCCACTACCGGTTCTCCAAAACTGGTCAGAACCTGCTGAATACCCACCTCTGCTATATAATATATAACCCCCCCCCACAAATCGAGCTTCATCTTAGAAGAATTCCAAAAATATCACATTGGCAATTATGATTTGAACAGATCGTTTCCCCTCTCTAATTTTGCATCCGATTCAGCGACAAGGTGCAGCCTTTTGATGTTATAATTTGGGCTCAGTGATGTCAGTAGCTGCTCGATTGACTCACCAGTCGATAAAGGCATTTAGGGAAAATAGCAATTGCATCAGCAACTTTGGAAGAGACATTGGGACAAGCTGGGAGAATCTATATTTGTCACCGTGGAAAACGTACTCGGCTGTAACACGGGCGCTGATGTTTAGGCGCCGATGCTTCAGGAGATGCAACACCAGAAGCCGTAAAAAAAGAAAAAAGAAAACCAGGTGTGCTTATGCGATGTTTCTCAACCTTGATAAGAAGTGTGGATCGATTCCCAGACTCAAAATTTTTAATGACCAGTTCTGTGGGCGTGGCTAGGTGGGTGTGGCTAGGTGGGCATGGCCATTTGACTGGCTGGGCGTGGCTTTCTTTTTTGTGGCAACCGCCCCACCCATTTTGGGGGCCTTCTGGGCCTCAGGGAAGCCTCCTGGGGGGCATTTTTGCTCTCAGGAAGCTTCCCTAGGGCCCAGGAAGGCAAAATATGGAGCGCGGGGGACCTCAGGGAAGCCTCCTGGGCGAAGCAGTAAGACAGCGAGGGGAATCCCAGCACAGCTGATCCTAGGAACAGCTGATTGTCAGGAAGGGGGGGGGAAACAAGAAATACCTTAAGCAGTGACTGGGCAGGGGAGAACGCAGTCAGCGATGTCGGGCATGCGCGCTAAGGACTGACTGGGCTGGGCAAAAAGGGGGCGGGTGGAGAGGGGCGGGACCAGCCAGGGGCGCGATTTGCCAGTTCTCCGAACTGTGCAGAATCATAAGAACCGTTTCTATAGAACTGGTCCGAACCGTTAGAATCCCACCCCTGGGGAAGGGGATGGTTTTGCACCTATGTCTGTGTCACTTGCGCAAATGGAGCTTCGTGTGCACGCCCACCGCTTTGTTGTGGCCTGTCAGCCGCCCGCCCGTCCAGGAGCTGGCAGAGATGAGGAAGCAGCGTGGGAGTCAGGGTCAGCGTCAAGGCACCCTGAGAGCTCCGAGGGGGAAGAGGGAATGGAGTTGGCACAGAGAGACAGAGAGAGAGACAGAGAGAGAGAGACGGAGACAGAGGCGGAGCCTGGGCTGTCCGCCAGCCCTCAGATGGAGAGTCAACAGCCCCCAGGTCCAGAGGTGGCTGATGAGGAAGAGGAGGAACAACGGGGTCCAGTGCCTGACGTGTGGATACACAGAAGTCAGAGGAGAGGAGAGCAGTGGAAATCCGTGGGCTGATCCTTGGGATGGAAGAGCCACTGCTGCTACCGAAGCCCCACCCTAGCTCTGGGGATAAAAGGCAGGGGGTGGAGATGAATAAATGTGGCAGACAACTATTCATCTCCCTGCTGGACAGATTGGTTAGCCTGTGGTGAGAGAGAAACATTTTGGTGGGGCTGCTGGTGCTCCTAATAAAGAAATCATTGATTTACAGTAACTACAGAGGGTTTGTCATGTTTGCTCAGTCAGAACAAAACCTCTCTCCTTGGAACTGATCCCTGGTGCCTGAAAAATTGGGGGCCACAGCTGTGAAGCACTATGGAGTGGTATATAAGTCTAAGTGCTATTGCTATTGCTGGCTGTAAAAAGTAGATTGGGGGTATTTAGTTCTTGCTTGCAAAAGGCAAGTTCTAAAACTCCTGAGCTGCTCCCACTTTCCCACCTGCTTGCCCATCCTTTTCTCTTACCGGCTGATTCCACCAGAGCTAGGCTCTTCATCTTGGTGCTGTGTAACGCATCCTGAAGATCCCGGTACCTACAGTTCAGGGTGATATAACGCACATCACGCACCATGATGTCCTCCACACGTACGTTGTACTTCCTGAAAAATGCAAACAAGCTGTCTGGATTTACACAATTAACTTGATCATTGATTTAACCTACTCTCCACGCGTTAAATTACAGGTAGTCCTCGACTTATGACCACAATTGAGCCCAACATCTCTGTTGCTAAGTGAGACAGTTGATAAGTGAGGTTTCCCCCCATTTAATGACCTTGTCACTGCTCTTGTTAAATTGGTAACACGGTTGCTAAGTGAATCTGGCTTCCCCATTGACTCTGCTTGTCAGAAGGTTGCATTGTAGGTCAGATCTGGGCCTCTGGAAGTTCCATTTCGGCCTGCAACAGACCGAGGGAGGCCCGCGGAGGCCCGAACAGGAGCATCGGAGGGGCGCACGCGGCTGAGAGGCTGGAGAGGAGACTGCTTCTTAGATCTTCACAAGGTAAGTGATTCGGCGTGGCAGGTTGGGGGGGGGGAAGCAATTGTGGGGAGCATGAGGTATTTCAGTGGGTTGGGGAGGACTTGGGTGGTCTTAGGTGTTCCATCGCTAGGCCCTCCATGGCCTTCCTCACCCTGAAATACCTCATGTGCACTTAACAAGCCTCACATTCGATTAGCAAATGCTTGGGCAAAAGGAGGGAGTGATCCCCTTCAAGGTACAAGATTCACTCCCACGAATCCTCAGGTTACGAATGGAATGGGCAGGCTCCATTACATTCATAACACGAGGATTCTGTATTCTGACTCTTTTTTGAATTGTAGCTTTCATCAGCTCTGGCTAGCATACACATTATTCAGAGCGCTATTCACCCAACTCCCCACAGCATCACAACCCAAAGTACGGGTCTCACCCAGGGATGGTTTGCTAGGGGTTCGCAGGGGTTTGGGAGAGCCCCTAGCTAAGATTCTGTGAGTTCGGAGAACCCCCAAATCCCCACTCCTGGGTGGCCCTATCCACCCTGCCCCACCCCTCCCGGGAGTCCCCACATGGCCCGTTTTGGATGCAGGTAAGTGCAGGGCATGCATGGAGGCTCATGGAGGGTGAAAAATGGGCGTCCCGGAAGTTCGGGAAGGCTGGAAATGGGCTCATTTCTGGCTTCCAGAGAGCCTCCGGAGCCGGGGGGAAACTGTTTTCATCCTCCTGGAGGCTCAAGGAAAGCCTCCAGAGCCCAGGGAGGGCAAAAATGCCTCCCCAATGTGGTGCAGGAGGCCGACTAGGCCACACCCACCATGGCCACGCCCACCCAGCAACCGGGCAGAGAACCCATTGCTAAAATTTTTGAAGCCCGCCCCTGGTCTCGCCCACATCCGTGCACACTTACTCCTGATGTCCCCAACCCAGCTCTGGCAGGTACGGCAGTTTCTTGATCCGGATGATGCTGTCGTAGAGCGAAGGCTGCAAACTCTGGGCCACGGCGTTAGCCAGGATCACCGCAATCATAACCGGCAGGATGTGTGAGATCTGGCCGGTCAGCTCGAAGACGATGACGGCAGTGGAGACCGTGTGGGTGACGGCCCCAGACAGGGCAGCGGCACCTGGGGAGGAAGAGAGGGAGCCATGTCAGAGAAGAGCAGGAGACGGGGAAGGCATCCGATTGGGCTCGCAACAGAGGTGGCATTCAGCAGGTTCTGGCGGGTTCTGGAGAACCGGTAGCGGACATTTTGAGTAGTTCGGAGAACTGGAAAATCCCACCTCTGATTGGCCTTGCCCCATCTATTCTCCGCCTCCTGAGTCCCAGCTGATTGGCTGGGTCTTCTTTGGTTGCCCTGAACAGGAGAATGGAGCTGGAAAGCAGGTTAGTGGGGTGGGGAGGGAATGGGGATTTTGCAGTATCCTTCCCCTGCCATGCCCACCAAGCCACGCCCAGAGAACTGGTAGTAAATTTTTTTTGAATCCCACCACTGGAAGAGGGGCCCAACATTTGAGATTCACATTTAGAGATATTTTTGGTTCCCTTTCAAACAGGTTGCCAGGCTGGACAGACTAGACAGAACCAACAGTCAAGCCCTTGGGACACTTGGAAAGCATATTATGAGCCACTCTGGGTACAGGTACAGGTCCTCCTCGACTTATGACAATAACCAAGCAGGGAGTTATGGTAATAAATCCTTGTGCTCGACGACCATTTTTGAAGTTAAGACTGTTTTTTTTTAAAGATGGTCATTTAGTGCTCCAATGGCCATTTTTGTGCTGGAAACTGGAAATTAATAGCAATAGCACTTAGACATACATACCGCTTCACAGTGCTTCCCAGTCCTCTCTAAGAGGCTTACAGAGTCACCATATTTGCTCCTTAGAATCTGGATCCTCATTTTACCAACCTCGGAAGGATGGAAGGCTGAGTCAACCCTGAGCCGGTTAGGATCGAACTGCTGGCAGTGAGCAGTGAGTTAGCCTGCAATGCTGCATTCCAACCACTGAGAAACCATGGCTGTTGTGGCTCTGCTTGCCTGCCTGCCCCTCTATCTATCTATCTATCTATCTATCTATCTACCTACCTACCTACCTACCTACCTACCTACCTACCTACCTACCTACCTATCTACCAATATCTATCTATCTATCTATCTATCTATCTATCTATCTATCTATCTATCATCTACCTATCTACCCATTACCCATCAATCCATCAATCTATCTGTCTATCTATCTATCTATCTATCTATCTATCCATCCATCCATCCATCCACCTATCTATCATCTATCTATCTATCTATCTATCTATCTATCTATCTATCTATCTATCTACCTATCTACCTACCAATATCTACCCATCAATCCATCCACCTCCCTACCTCCCTATCTACCAATATCTATCATCTATCTATCTATCTATCTATCTATCTATCTATCTATCTATCTATCTATCTATCTATCTATTATCTATCTACCTACCTACCTATCTACCAATATCTATCTATCTATCTGTCTGTCTGTCTATCTATCTATCTATCTATCTATCTATCTATCTATTATCTACCTACCTACCTATCTACCCATATCTACCCATCAATCTATCTATCATCTATCTATCTATCTATCTATCTATCTATCTATCT